ATATATATATATATATAATCTTTGCTTTCTTCTCGTTATTAATATTTGCAAATGGTTAACTATTCCCTTTTATCTCTTGCATTGACCTCAGCGAAGCACTAGTGATACATCTGAATCGATTCGTCGTCGTTTAAGCAACTTTGAGCTTTCAATACCGAGGCAACGTGTGTCAAGTTTTACAGATACCGATAGACTATCAGATAGGTTTCGTATTTTTGTTCTTTATTTTTCTTACGTTTTACCCATTCCTTTTGAAGACATGTTTTTTGAAAATGTGATCTAATCATCGTATTTAATCATACTCATCAAAATAGGCATGGTTGACCGTTGGATTAATTTGTTAATTTTTTTTTTCAATAACGTGGCAGTAGATTTCAACCGAACACTTAAATTGCAATCACACACACACACGTCACTTTTATGGAAATCATTCATATGCATTACAAAATGTAAATTTGTAATTTCAATTTTATACCATAAATTGATTACGAGGTTGTGTGTCCAGTATGGCAGTATGGTGGGGGACAGGGGACGTGGAGGAGGGATATCCTATTAAATGTCCCCACCCCACTATTTACCATTCTTCTTTAGTTAAAACGTCACTTTTCCGAGCGAGATGAAAGGACAACAACAATTGCGAATGAGCGTAAATAATATCATATTCGAAAAAATATAACATGAGCTTAATCAGCAGATAAAAAATAAAATAAATCAATATTTTTATGAATATTATTTTGCACAAAATATGTAAGTGGGATTTTGTTTCAAAATTACGAGGTATATTGAAACACTTTTTTTAAACGAATATTCAGAAAACATGTGGAAATAAATGTTGATTGTAAAAGTTACCCTTAAAATCGGTTAAATCGACTTATGAATGGCTAGTAGGAGAGGTTTGGCGCAGCGGTTGCGATTCTGCTTCCCAACCTTAACCTTGTGGTCGGAGGTTACAATCCCTCGCTGTGTATTGCGCTTGTGTCCTTGGCCAAGGTACTTCACCTACGGAGTTCCTGGCCAAGGTACCTACGTTGTCTATCTCCACCCAAGAGCACAAGTGGGTACCTGGTAGGTTCAAACACAAACATGCACTGATTAAAGCTGCAACATTATGAAATTCTCCCAAAGGTCCTGAGTAGGCCTATGTGTTCCATATGTACTTGATCCAATGACCGGGAGGTAAAGCGCAGAGGTCTCTACAATGTGCTATATAGGCCTATATAAGTCTACAATTTATTATGACTAGAAATTGCAATTCGCAAGTGAAGTGCTGCGAAGTACAACTACATAAAATGTTCTTCGAACAAAATTATTTATGCGAGTCAAGTGAAAATAATGAATAATAAAAATATAACAAATAATATGAGCACGACCCATTGTCTATATATTATTAGAACAGCGTTGGTACAATAGTGTTTTGCTGCAGTGACATCTCTCTGCTTGCGATGGCTCGCTGCTGCTGGCGATGACTCGCTGCTGGCGAATCGATCTGCGCATGTGTATAAAATGGTATTTATTTCCGCAAACGCTATGCCAGTCTACAACAAGCGTCGCCTAAATGTAATAATTAGCACGTTGAAATAGGCTAGTAAATAAGTTTAACTGGGTTCGTAAATAATATTGTCCTCAAAATATTGTGGCTGAGACATGATCCGATTAAACGTTGAAATAGGAAACCTAGAAATATAGTGAAAATGCTGAATAGTACTCCAGCGTCGCGACATGCCGACGTTGGTACGAGTGGGTTAGTCTACAAACATCGCCTAAAGTAATTGATTTTACCCCTGGACCACTAGTTGGGGCCTAGGCAACTCCAGGCTCCCAGCTTCTTTCTTTCAAGTTCATCCTGCTGTGATTGTCGGGGTCTTGTCTCCACTAGCAATTATTCTATGACCATTTTCAGAATCCCCTCAAGAAACTGGATCATTTACTGGCACAACGCCATGAGCATTCACTGGCTAAAAGCAGTGTCGCCGGCCTTAAGGGCCCCGAGATATTAATCGGTATTGTTAGGGTCATGGGGACAGTCCTTTAAAAAGCAAAACATGTAAACAACCATTAAAACATCAAAACCCATAGCCTCCTGACGGCTGACACCATTAATACTGCCCGAAGAATCCTTAGCCGGGCCTCATTCTCTTCGTTACGCCAGTAGCCCGGTTGTCTTTCATTCATAACCAGCCAAACTAATGACAGATTAGAGTAGGGCATACTTTCTTTTTCCAAAATTGTTTTTGTGGATTCAAGGCACTAGAACATGCAGCAATTCAGATATCATGGTTACAAATTTGATATACTCTATATAAAAACTTACAGAAAGCATAACATTGTTATTTACACACCATTGCATCTTTTATATTGTAACAAAGCATGTAAATTCCCCCAAAAATATAAATAGACCAGAAATAAGTATGACAGAATACTGATCAGTGAATATTATATAAGCTATTCTTTTGCATTTCCTAGACTGGGCTTTGAGGTAGGCCTACAGAGATTTTTGTTTGGAGTCATATTCTAGAAAGAAAAACACAATCTAAACCCATATTTCTAATATCCACAGCGATAACATTTATGACCCGGTTGCGCTTGATGAGGACCCACGAGACCAACATGTCCATCCGATTAGACCAATTGCCAGAGTCCAGGGCTATAAGGTTCAACCAGAAGTCCACAACGTTGGTATGTATCACAGAACAGTTCAATTGTCTTATATAACATAAATGACGTAACATAACATTATAATAGTACCTGTATTACATAACAAGCCATATAGCATAAGAAGTTGGGTGCAGTGGACCCTTATCCCAGGTTCCTGGGTTCAATTCCTGTCATTAACAGGATTTTTTCTCACGACCAAAACAACTCCACTTCCAATAATGAGACTTCAGCTAACAATATTACGTTCTATGAACGTTACAGTTTGGTGATAAAAGCGTTATTTTTTAGAACCATATATACGTAATTATAACCTAAATTCACAACCTCACAACGTTTGAACGTTCTTACAACGTTGTGTGAACGTTATGTTTTGACATATACCGTAACTGCAACGTTCGCGAACGTTATACCATCGAACGTTTTGTGTTTGCTGTATGTAGAGCATCTTATATTTATGCTTGTCTTGTGAAAGAATATGCCACTTATAAAAGTAAATATGTTCGCTGTTTGGCATAATCCTTTGCCCAAAAATAAAAACATATTATTGTATAGCAATATAAAATATAACATAATTTTACACAGTATGGGTTGACATGACATGACATGACATTGGATCGTCAATCCCCCGATTTCTCTTTGAGGCCTGTACAATGGTTAAAGTTTTGGTCTGTGTATGAACGGTTGTTTTATTACAATTTAATTGTTTGTGTTACGTATAGGTTGGCAATCTGGAAGTCATTCAGCAGGAACTCTGAAAGTGAGTAATGTTATTTTTATGTTAATAGTAATGACATGCTTTGTTATTAATATCGAATGCTGCGATAATCAAGTGCAGGTTGACAGAGCTTGCAATCGAGGCTTTTTCTTCAATGGTTCATTATTAGTGCTTCTTTAAATAAACCTTCAAATTATAGCTACAGTATGTTTAGGCCTCAATTTCAAGTTACATTACTTGATTTCAGACAAATGTAAACAAATTGAATAATCTATTATCCCTACTTTGTCTAGTTCTTGTAAATACTTCAATGAGCCATATCTATGTATTAGACTATTATCTTTCACTTGGTTTACAAATCCTTACGTTAACTTCTTTTTTATGGTTATGATTTAATCTTTTATTATGTAATTATAGTATAACAATAATTGAAAATAAGAGATGGTAAATATAATTATAATACAATAACAATGCAATTATATTGTTCTTTACATTATACAATATTTTCCAAAGTCTCATGTATAACGGGCCTATAGTGTACTCATGGTGTACTTAATTACAAAAAAAGTATGTGAACCTTGAAGTTTTCCTTGTTTAGTTAAGGCATGGGGAAAAATCTCAAAAGAATTGCAGCTCTAACGAAGAAAAAAATCTAGAAGAAATAGCATGGGAAATATAGACCGAAAGCAGAGCAGGAACAACTAGCCGGGGACAATTAGAGCAATTATACGGGGGTGGGAGGGGGGAAGTAGCTTGTCAACAATAAAACGAAGTGTACAACATTCAACTGGGAAATACGAGTGCGCATTTATTTTATGTAAGGCCAAACGGTTAAAAAAAATAATGCTTCTCTTCTCCTCACGCATCTGTACTTCTGTCGGACAAGCATTTAAAACCCACACTCTCACATGTGGTGCGAATCCACGACGAAGTCGTTGGATTAAGATATGATTTGGCAGATTCAAGCCATAGTGATTGCAGTCCCTAAACAGGATTGTAGTCTAGGAGCATGTATTGGGTCATCTTAAATAGTCATAAGATCTCTTCTTTGATCTCGGAATTTTGTTCCTGGACTTGTTTGACCCTTCTGTCCGTACAGCCATCTTTATGAAGAACAAAAATGTATTCTATTCTATTTTAAACAACTTGACCAGAGGCATTATCGCCATTTTCAGGAAAGTAAGAGTTTTCTCGAAAATGTAGAGTGGTTGTATGACTCTGTTAAAGAAACACGAGAAATGTACGAATTAGATGAAGTATTAAGGGCGGTACTGTTCGAAGGCGAACTGAGGATGTTTCGTCATATGGATGTGATTGAAGAAACTTTATACAGGTATATAGCTCTTTAATGATGACAAACATCACTGCAGTCTAATTAACATTACAAGTTAAATGAGCTGTAATAGTATCATGTAG